CAGACAGGCTGGCTGGGTGGCCACAGTGTTCTGGAAAGTGCGTCAGGCTGACAGACCGGCCTTCGCGTCTTGTAAATGCACACATGAATATTTGATTTTATTGTCCGATGTGGAAATATGTTCCTAGCACACGGTCAGGACGGTCGGGAGACAAATGGTGATTGCTGTTCGCTGGGAAGTAATTCCGATCGATAACTCCGTCGGAAGCAGGTGCGAACAAGATTAGGCCGGATCGGGTAGGAGTCGATTGACCGATCCCCCATCCAAGGAGTACTAACAGATGCCCAACGTATGAAACGAGAATATATCCCTTTGTCGAAAAGGACGGATAAACGTGTACAGCCCTCGTATGGCTGGATCCAGGTTTGTGTCTTCGTATGGGTCCTGAGGGACTCAGTGACATCATCCTCGGCTCTTGTCTCTCCAAGGAGCTATAATGCCGTCCTCCTCCTTTTATGGGTGAGACGGGTGTAAGGAGGGGTGTGCCCCTTCATCAGGTGCTTGGAGCAGGAGGTACCGAATCACCTCGGGTCGCTGCTCGCTGTTTCCTTCCTTGAGAGGAAGTGGTGGACTCGTCCATCTTAAAGTCTATTGGGAAGTTCGAACCAATTGACGGATTTTGACTATACTTGGCGTCATGATTATTATGAAACATCTTAGATTCTCGCGGAGTTAAAGATGTCGACGTCGATGTTGTACACATTGACGCAAAATTTCGCTCTTACAAACGTGTGTTGGTGTTGGCGGATGCGTATGGTCCAGTTGTGTTTTGTGGTAACACTTGCGTCTAGTTCTTTTTCCCCTCATGTATTTGGATTAAAATTTTGTGCGTGCTAGATTCCCCGCCCATCACACTCTCTTTGATTATATTGCCCAGTCGATGTTATAATCCAGCGTCGAAACAGCAGAGCCGATAACAGACGGCGCGCACTTTTATGCAGATTATGAGGTGTCATTTTGAGTCTGTGTTTCATCTAAACCACGCGCCTCGTTAGCTATTAGCCTCCCCCCCCCCCGATTATAATCGTATCAATTATTCAGAATCCACGATGGACCAGCGTTGTTTTTACGGACTTCGAAAAGGTCATACAAGTTCAAATCGCTGAGTGTTTCTCAAGTGCTCCCCCCCCCCCGCGGGGGGCAGTGTTGTGATGAGCAGGGCATGTAGCATGCATGGGTGAAACAAGGAATGTAGGTACATTCACACCAGGAGATCACTTTGAATTTATGCTTAAAGATTGGATCATAACGTAACTCTAAAGTAGACATTAAAGGACAAAAACGTGAATTGGATTGAGCCAGCTCATGATAAATTCTAATTGGCGCTGCTGTTTTTTTAAACTCCGGGCCCCGTAGAAACATGATGACTCAACTTTACCGGCGTCCATACGAAATATATTCTGTTTTGTCCACTCATTAATATTCGTAGTGCGTCGTTGCTACTCGTTCATTTTCTGCCCCACTTTAATTCATTCGCTTTTGTATCCATGTCCTTTATCCTGGTCTGTTTTTGTATATAATCTCCACTGCCGCCTGACACCATCAGTGACAGGCTGTGTGGAAAGTGATCAATAACATTTTAACTATTTTCTGTCGACTCAATTTTTTTAACGTTTGATATACTTTCTGTGAAAATAATAATATTTTCGAGGTTTAACGTTCTTCAAAAAAAAAAAAAAAGTTTATAAGCCCTGAAATAGGCGGAACTGTAGTCGATCACGTTTAATTCTTACGTCAGTTTTCGCCGTTCGTCGCAGATTGTTATTTCGCATTTCCACTGTTTACCTCGCTCTCTCCCGCCCCTTCCACCGCCATTTCCCCAAGCAGCGAGTGACGTCATGGCAGCGCGGTTGGTTAAAGTGTGGCGGGGCTGGCTGGCGTCGCTCAGTGCGGGCAGAGAGGGCGCCCCGATCGCATCGCGACGTGTTCAGAAGGGGGTTCCCATCCGCGTCTTTCCTCACTCGACGCCTTTGATGTAACCATGGTGACAGTAGTTGGCGCATCGGGGATTTCCCTCGCTTAGTTTTCATATCGAGTGACGTGGATCAGCCGTCAGAAAGATTGTTAACTCGTTTCGTCACGGAAAGTGTTTTGCAACAATGACTCCTCAGCTGTGCGGCGACACCTTTTCCGAACGCTGGCTCTGGTTTAAAATATCGTAATTTGGAAAGCGTATTATTATGGCGGCCGTGAATTTTATTTAGTGCGGTTCTAAGAGAAATAAAAGTGTTCTCCGGTTCTGCCAGTAACAATGCGCTGTTCTGTCGAAGTCTTGGTGTCGGAAGTTGTGATTGGCACAACTGCAATATGACGGGCGCGCAACAATGCGGTGACGAAATGGGACGAATGCAAATTTAAAAACTGAGACGTAACGATGACGACTTGGGATTGGTTGACGGTGAGTTGTAATGAGAGCGATCCTGTGTCTTTAATCGCATAGAACGACGGCAAATAACTCTGTTAACAGAACAAGACGCCAGTACATCAAATATTACAGGTAACTCAACAATGGCTTTTGTACCCAGCGCCCCTAGTGGCATGGGAAACAAACTGAAACAGTTGCCGCAGACGTAATTAATGTGTAAGATGCTATCTCCAGTGCGAGCAGACTTCTGTTGTCACAGATTAAAGGAAGGGGATTTGAGTTACGTCGCCGGTCCTGTGTCGCGGCCATTGGTGCTCCGTGCATCGCCATATAACGTGGTTTCGTGAGAAGCTGACAGTTTGCAAACTGCAAGTTGATTGTATCACGTTAAGAATTGCACATCATTTATCGCCGTCTCCACACAGTCATATCCAAGATCTGTGCGTAATCTCCAACGCGATTAACAACTGAATATCAGTCATCGATGCGGAACGAGATAAACGCAAGAGTCTACAGTGAACACAGCGAAGCCACCAACAGCTCTCTGCTCGACTGAAGGCGATTAGACGAATTTCGCCTTTCTGCCATTGACATTTCACTTCTGCGCGTACAGAATTTTCAGGATATTTTACCTTCCATTATTTTGTGGCAGTCGATATTCGTTACAAGTAAGTTATTTCACTTGTCGGTCGCGTGGACGGGGCAGTCACCAGTCGAATTGCACTGGAGAAAGGTGACGATTGCAAGCATTTAAAGCGATGCTCATAATTGCTTCCGCGAAATATAAAGAACAAATTTGTGAGAGCAAGAAAAGAGGCGATCCTGAGAGACGGAACTGCGTTCTCTCTTAGGACGATAGAAACTCGACAAGCGGGTTAAGAGAGTTTCAGGACTTGAGATCGAACACCTGCCGGCGCACTGCCTACCTTGGCTGTCACGGGCCCGGTCGTTTCGCGATACCAATGCCCTCTGTTGACCAGGCATCCAATGAGCGCGGTTTAGAGTGGCGTGTCAGATCCCTGTGAACCACAGTACCTCTGCCAGCTCAAGTACCGACGGCGTATGGAGGGCAGTAACGTCACCATAGCAACGACAACTTCGACTTCGATATCCGGGCCGCAGCCGTGGTTTCCCGGTCCCGATTCCCACTACAGCGCGGCGGAGGCCGTCATCATCGCCCTGGTCCTGCTGTGTGTCATCATCGGCACAGTGGTCGGCAACATTCTGGTGTGCGTGGCGGTGTGCCTCGTCCGGAAACTGAGGCGCCCCTGCAACTACCTGCTCGTGTCGCTCGCCGTCTCGGACCTCTGCGTTGCCATTCTCGTCATGCCCATGGCTCTGCTGTACGAGATCCTCGGCCGCTGGAACTTTGGCCCTGTCGTGTGCGATCTCTGGGTCTCGTTCGACGTCCTCTCGTGCACGGCGTCGATCCTGAACCTCTGTATGATCAGCGTCGACCGATACTACGCCATTACGAAGCCGCTGGAGTACGGCGTGAAGAGGACGCCGCGCAGGATGATCGCGTGCGTGTCCCTGGTGTGGCTGGGGGCCGCCTGCATCAGCCTGCCGCCCCTCCTCATCCTGGGAAACGAGCACGGGCGCACCGGGACTGGCACCTCTCAGCACTGCGTCGTCTGCCAGAACTTCGGCTACCAGATCTACGCGACGCTCGGCTCCTTCTACATCCCCCTCACTGTGATGATAGTCGTGTACTACAAGATATTTAGGGCGGCCCGCAGGATCGTGTTGGAGGAGCGGCGGGCGCAGTCGCACCTGGAGACGCACAGCTACCTAGAGATCAGCGTCAAGAACGGGGGCGGCCCGCCGGAGACCAGGGTGGCGAGCAACACCTCGTCGCCAGCGGTCGCCTCTGCGGCGAGGGTGCAGCATCATAGGACAAGCACAGCGAGCACCACCACGACTGTAAGTGAGAGAGCGGAGGGCGCTCGTCCTGCTGTTCCCGTCAATCCTCTGACGCGCGAGAGACGAGAGGATGTGGGGCGGAGAGCAGTGAGAGAAGCTAATTTAGCCGGGGGTGGGGGGCAGAGATAAATTTCCGACAGTGAAAGTTCCCAGGCAGTACCCGCTTGCCCTTCCAGTAAAGATACGTTGAAGAGTAGGCGAGGTTGTAGAAAGTGGAGAAGCCAGAGCGACGAGAAATGGACGAGGGTCTCACAGCTTCAATCGGAATTTGAAATTTTGGCATGAATTCAGCAGAATGATACAGAAACTTTCTGTCCGTACCTCGAAGGTAACAAAAGACGTCACCACGTCGAAGATCAACTGGTTAACGCTGTTTAGGGAAATATTCGCTCTTAAACTGAGAATCATACGAAGATTATAGACACAGTGTGTAGGCAACATGCAGAGTTATTAATCGTTAGAGCAGGTGGTACGGAAACTTCCCACTGGGCTTTGAATCGGAGTTTTCGCCACCGTTGCCAGTATCACACAAGTCCACTCAAAAGGAAGCATGCCTGTGGTTTAAATCGGCTCCTTACGAATCAGTTTCTCGTGTTTCGACAGTGCGCTGCGTCGCTTATAAATCCACCCAAGTCCTTCGTCCTGCGTTCTGCTGCAAGGGATCCTTTGAAGTCCGGTGCGTCTAATTACCTGCGCTAAGCCGCCTGAACGTTTAGGCTACCAAGGGGACTCTGTAGGCCACACATCGCATCAGTACTGTATTGCGTGTTGCGGTCTGACAGGGCGCTCATCCCAACGGCACAGTTGGTGCCCTCAACTGTTTGGAAACCGAATTTGGCTCTATTCGAGTCTTC